TTATTCTGAGTCAAACATGTTTATGATGAGTTCCCTAGTCCGATGCCAGGGAACAAAAGGCTCATTCTTCAGTTCCCAGAATGAGGATTAACAGTGAAACAGCCTTGCCTGGGATTGTGCAGCATCAGATAATTTTTCATCAAGGCTTTTCATGGGATGATACATTCTCCCATATAGATGCATCTATTTCAGTAGTGGGTGAAACACCTGTCATTTATGTATAATTTTAAAAGTGGCATTTTACAAATGAAAGGATACACAACCAAACATGACCCTGTTATTCTCCTACTGGTCAACCACAAGAGGGATCGTCTCTGTTAGAGCTTATCTCTAGAAATCATTGTATTGATAAGTTGCTAGTCTGTCTCTAGCTCTTTCTAGGTGGCTTAGGAAGTGTCATGTGTATCCAGGGGCAGTAATCTACCAAAGGTGATCCTTCTTAGAAGTATCCCTATGAGTGGAATGGATTTATGAGATCATTTTTTTCCCTTCATGTAATATTTTCATTGTCACCCCATCCCCTTGCAATAGGATACCATGGATATATTGGAAAAAAAATTGGAAGTCAAATGGCTGATAACACAAGAATATAAAAATATTCAATTTGAAAATCTGTAGACATTTGTTAACCATATCACCCTCAAATAAAAAGCAAATTTTCCTGCTCCTTCCTGGGACAGCAAGATAAAAAGATTGTTGAATAGATCAGCAAAACACTGACTTTAAAAAAAAAAAAAAAGATTGGAAGTTGCTTGCCTTTCCTGCTCATATTAGTTTTTCCCGGGCAGGGGAAGCAAGTGAATCCTTTATTGATTGTCATTTGGTGCCATTTTTAATAATCAAATTTAAATATAGGCTTTAGCAGCCGACCGGTTCGATTTGGACAGAACACATGTTGACTTCCTGAACTGTTTGCTCAGTGGAGAAGCCGACTTGTTCTGTAGACGGGGCTGCATGTTGATCTCCTTTGTCTCCAGAAGGATTGATTGACGGATGTTGTGTCTGCTCATTTACAGCGTTTTCCTTGTTTAATTTTAAAAATTGTGACATAGTATTACATGTTCCCTTGTATACATCATTTTTACAGAAGAAAGTTGTTTAGCCAATATGTCGACTTAGTTTATGAAATCCTCTCTATAGCTTTCATTCAGCCCTTCGTGTACTCCATTAGGTCATATTCATTTCATGCACGGCAAATCGTCACCAGCAGCAAAATTTAACATTTGGTCCTTTTAGGTATAAAAATGAATCAAATGCCTGACAAGATTTGTTTCTGGTATATATTTCAGAATCTTCCCCCTCCCCCCTCCCACCCCCGCCAACCCCATCTTTATGGGCATACAACAAATGTTACTAACGGGTACTTTTAGTTTTAAAAATATGGATAACAGTACTCCACGCAGTAAAAGACTTGAGCGATTAATGCTACCCTTATGCCTCTTTTGAGTAGTTTTAGCCATGGGGCTTGGCACTGCCACCATTGTCTTTGTGCCAAAAAATATCCGCAGCGGCTGTCGCATTCTAGTACCGGAGGGTTGTCTCGAAAATTCCGCAGTGAACGCGCCGGGTTTGTTCATCACTGCTATCTCTTTTAAATATTGGAAAAACAGAATCTTCAGCTCTTTCAAAGCCCCGTTGTGGTTGTGGGGATGGGGGGAGGCGGGTGGTGAAGAATGGAGAAAGGAGGAAAGAGGCTGTCCGCGCCAGCCAGTTGGTATAAGTGACAAAAATCCATGCCTGACATAGAGTAAACACAGATATTTAGGAGCTTTTGTGTTCATGAGCACAGATAGTTACTTAAGGATCCTACTCAAACGTGTTATCAGCGCTCTTGAAAATTTTGTTATCTGAAACAAATGTTCCAAGTGAATTTTAAGCAGAAAATCAACATCAAGACCACAGCTAATTTTTAATGGATAATTTACACAAAAGATAGTTTCTTTTCTAGAAACCGAGGTGCCCTTTTAAAATGGCTGCTTTTTATCTTAAAAAAAAA